CATTCTGTCTCTCACAGTTGAAGTGTACCTCTGGTGCAAATTACTGACCTCTGTCATCATTTTAAGTGGGGGAACTTGCACAATCGGTGACTGACTAAATACTTTTTTGCCCCACTGTAACAGGGCATTTGTCTCTACCCTTGTTGGGTGTGCACTAAATAAAAAATAAAAACAATAACATAAACACAAGTTGGTTTGATTCAAAATGCTGTTACTTCTTTATTTGATCATTATAGACAGTGGTGTGATATTTTGTCCTAATGTCCATATTTGTTGTTAAAAAGTTTCACTGTGTTTTGTGTGGGAGTCACCTTGATAACTAACTAACTGCAATCAGTTCATCCTTGAGTCAAAAAAATTGTCTGTTAGATTCAAAAAATTAACCTGAGAGCCTTTGAGAAATATTTTAATTACCAAAGTGGGACATAGCTTTGGACAATAAATCGAAAATATGTCAAAATTTGACATGATTTCTAATGATGCAGCTGCAAATTTAACACTCCTTGCAACCCGAATAGAAGAAAAAAACAGCAGTCCGTAAATGAATAGTTTGTCATGAAACTTGTTAATACTCTCTTTCACAATGGTACAACACTGAAAGGACTAAAGTTGTTCGGCTTAGCTGAACATGAATACTAGAAAAAAGGGATAAAGACAGGATCTCTAATTAAAATCAACTATGGTGAATTACAGGTACTTGTAGGTAGATCAAAATTAAATAGATGTTATTGGATAGTTTTACTGGGTAGTATTGTTTAGTATTGCTAACTGCAATTCATCTGTAAGTCCCAGATCTATTGTACGTCATTGGTGATTGATCAACTAACACGTTTTCAGGCACAAATTATTGTAATTTATGTGTGCTGATAATATAAAGCCTTGCTTGCTAAGGTCTTAACCTTTTGCTGCCATGTCTTTGCTAGCGTATGCTAACATAGATAGTGTATGCTAACTTCCAGGAGAGAAGTTCCAAGATCCGTCATTGCCGTAAAAAATCCTAGTGATAGTATTTACAACCATGTCGTGCATCAGTTTGCAGGATCCTCTGCTCTTATTGGCAATGCTTTATACTGTCGATCAGTACACCCACAAAACTCCTATACAGGAAGTTGATTTTGGCTCTCTGATAGAAAAAAAAAGTCTTACTCTATGAGTCTTACCTTGTAGATAATACAGAGTTCTGGAGCTGATGTGGGTGAGCTTGACTTGACGTCCAGGTGTCTTACCCTTTGTCCAAAAAGCTCTAATTGGTTGTTCTAACCTTTCCAAGTAATATCTTCCATTGGGGCCTATTGTACAAGCCTGTAAAACCAACCCAGACTAACAAGTGCCACGATCTAGAGGAGGGGAGCTGCATTAACAGGTGTGACTAATAAAATTTGAACTGCAAGGCTACTCTGGCTTTTTCGTAATACTGAATGAAATGAAATGAATGATATTATGGCTCAGACGTGGCAGAGCAGAGATGAGTGAAGTTATAGAATACAAAGAGCTGAAGTGAAACAGAGTTTTAAAAGTAATGAAGTCATCCACTGCAACCACTGTCTGTACTTCTCCTGCTGTGCTGTTGATCTTTTTGATCTTATTGATCTGTTCCTGTCCACTATTGGTCCTGCAGCACCACGAGACAAGAGCTGAAGAAGATATCAGTTGCTGTTTTAGCCAAAAAAGACCATTTTTAGGATCTATCAGACCAGAGAAACCTAAAACAAATTGTCATAATTGGCAGTTAATTGGCCACTGAGGTAAGATTAAAAATTGCAGACGTTATGATGATATAATGAGCAATGATTGTTTATTTAAAACAATATCATTAAAATTTGTATTTGAGCAGAATCATTCATTCCACATATCTGATGAAGAGGACAATGAAGATGCAGCCGAGCAGAGACATGGTCGAAGCCGAGAGGACCACCACGATCACACTTCCTGCTGCGTTGACCAGAGCACCGAGCCCCACGCCCACGATGATCTGAGCCAACTGGACCATGCAAGTGAGGGCGGCACAGTCCATTCCCGAACCTCGAGGACTTTTATTGCTTCCGTGCAGCTTCAGTTGTTGCTGGAAGCACAGGAGGTTGTAGGTTATTAGAGAAGAGGAGGATGACGGGGAGGGGAAAACAAGAGAGCAATATATGGAAACATCAATTTCAGTTTAATCAGAGAGGCTGTGGCAAAAAACACAAACAAACAGCTGGATAAACAGACGGCTCTGAGAATATGAAGAAACCACTTCTTAAAAAGATAGATTCTTTTCAGCCTCGCTTCAGTTGTTGCAAGTTGAATTCCATCAAACTCTCACCTGATTTCGTTTAATCAGGTATTGATCGACCGTGACAGAAAAAAATAAACAATTGATTTTTGAGGCAACCACTTATGAATGACATTGCAATTTATGTTTTATAGATGAACTATATAAACTTGTTTGAGAATGTTGCAGCAATACTATAAGCGGTATTAAAACATTTATGTGGACACTTAAAAAAAAGGGGAAAAAAGTTTAGTGTTATTCCAAACCTTTAAAATGAAAATCTGATCTTTTATTTTATTTTTTTGGTATTTAAATGCATAAATGTAACTTAAATAAGTGGCAAAATCTTGCCAAAAATCTTGTACTGAAGAACAGCGTCTAACAATGATGTAACACTGAATGATGCAATTTCAAATTCACAATAAAATATGAATGCCTATGTACTTGACTGACAGATGATTTCTACTGTTTGATATATTTAAACCAATTAATTCCCCATTTAACAGGTATAAAAGGGAGCATTACAACAATTTAACACAAAAACGTCAGTTCAGTCTTTCGTTCTACTTGGGACGGTATTGATGAATAAATATTGACATATCTGGCTTTATGGTTTTGGAGAGCCTCGTGAATATCTCTGGTTTCCATTTGGACTTTAAATACTTCTACAGAAAACCGCATGAAGGAGTAGAGTCAGTTGTATTATGGGATTAATAGTTAGGATAGTTTTTTCGGGGGCTTTAAAGTGTCTCATTCTTGATCTGTCTTTTGTAAATACTTGAACTTTAAGGAAGTAAAATATGGGACTATGCACAAGTCTTAAGCCACACCTCACTTCTTTATATGTTGCTTCCAAGGAGCCAGATTTTCCTGCAATAGTTCTTTTGACTTTCTGAAGATCTTTCAGAGTTTGTCTGTGCACGCTGGCTACCTTTTCACTCATTTTCAGTCCACATTTTTAGAAGATTGACTGACCTTGTTTAAGAATACAAAGAGACCTAACTCAAGAGATGAACCAGCGTCGTGTCTACACATATCAGACAAGTTAAAAAAGAACCAGTTTTTAACTTGTTACTTTAAACACTTTGTTACCAGCAGCCTGATGAAAAAACATTGGATCGTTTTCCTCATTTCCTTAGTTGAATCTATGAAAAATGCCAAAGATAACACAGATACACAACATCCAAAGACTCAGAATATCTCACCATGGTGTGCAGTTTGTGCTTAAGAAAACTATACACCAAGTTGAGGACAAAAGTTGCAGGCCTAAAGGAAAAATAAAAAAATCTGCAGCAGATGTACAGTATCTGAAAGTCATGTCCTTAAGAAAAAAAGAAACCAGCAGAGACCTGACATACCTGACAGATTTAGCAGCCTCAATGCAAATGTTCTCAGTCGAAGGGTAGCAGGAAGGGAAAAGGAGAAAAGGCAGAGGAATGCCAAATTATAAAAACTGGAAAATCAGTGGCAGCAGGTCTTATGCAGTGATGGATCCATATTTGAAAATTTTGGTTCAGATCATCATCAGAATGTAAAGAGGAGGTCAGGAGGCATGGCCAACAGTGACTGGTACAGCCATCAGCGGAGGCTCTGTGATAGGTTGCATTTCTCCATGAGGTGTCTGGCTTCTTATCAAAATTAATGTAATTATTAATACAGAAAAGTACCCTCAGATTTTAATCCTCTATGGAATCTGAAAGGTTGCTTATTTGCAGAGGCTTCATTTTTCAGCATCAAAATGATGCCAAAGACATTGCCAGTGCAGGGTAGAAAATTCGGATAGAAAAACCAAGGGTGTAGATTTGGTTTTGGCATTGGTGGGCACGGATGATTCAACCACCGAACCCTGCCCTGTTTCTTTTTTTCCCCTTTTTGTCTTTGCTTCTTGATAAAAAAGGAGAAATATACTTGCCTACATATGCTATTCTACATGCTTTTAAACCATTTAAAATTACAATTCATAGTTTTACATTTGAATTATATAATGTTAAATTACTATTAAACAAATGACTGACTAAGTATTTTAGAGTTTAGTTTACTTCAGCCATATTTCATATAAATCAGGTATCATACAAACATAAAAATAGCTTCAAATACAGTCATGGCAATAAAAGAATATGACTTTAAGGACTTAACAACATTACTTAAGTTACACCAACATCTCTGATACATTAGCACTAAGGGAACACTTAATGACCTGCTGGTTTTTGTCCATAAAACTACTCATCTAAGATTACCACAAAGTAACAGATCTCTCAGCAAAATTATGCAACAGTTTAGGCACACTGTTGCCCCGATCAAATCAGTGAGCTGGGATTTTTTATTCTAAACATGAACTACTGTTACAGCAACAGACATGGACTACTGGTGCCCCACACAACAACTCAATGTTCACTATGTGAAGGAGCCAAACACATGCCTTCTCCTCTCGTTAACTGAGATAATATTGGTTTTACATCTATACTGTCCAGTCTCTCCTGGTGGACATGGCATACAGCAGCATTGTTTAATCTCATTCGAGTCACTGTTAACCTTAGCCATGTTTTTAGTCTTCTGAGAGCACTGAAGCTTCTTTTATCCTCAGTACATGTGTTTTATCCTTAGATTACAATTATTATTCTGTGCTTGATGTGCCTCATGTTTGGCCCTGGCTCTTCCCCTCTGACTGCACTAGGACATATTGCCACCTGATAAAATAACACATTGATTCGTGCCATATAAAAAGTGAGACGTGTCAATTCAGATTCTTTGTCAAATGTACACTAATGAATCAATTTACATCAGCAGCCTAACAATTGTCATGATAATAAATACTAGTTAATCTATAGCACCAAATTATCAGTCAGTCACCTGTGACCTCGCATCTTCACCTCTGTCCGAGCTAGAACATGGCAGAGCTGCCTCTGTCACCTGATAAATAACAGTGAGACATTCCAAATACATGCAGTCACACATGTGCTTCAAATACAGTAATGAACCAACAAGTCATCATCAAATTTCACCTGTGATCTTGTATCACCATTGTTGGTTGGAATATTTGCAAAATGATGACTACCTCATGATATTTTGTCTCAAAAATTAACCCTATGAGTATGTCAGTACCATTAGGATGACATTATTGTGTCACCAACATTTAACGTTAGACATATAATTTTAACAGCCTCTGTAAACTAATATCCGGGCTTACTCGAGGCTGCTGTTTTCTCTGACAGTTTCAACCAAATTAGAAATGCTACTGTGGGAGACTGAGATAACTAATAGTGCTGCATGTTGTGCAGTTCGTTTCCAAAACACGTTATTAATGGGTACATACAATTTTA